ATTAGATATTGTAACCAAAATAAAATAAAAAATTAAGATTTTCAAAATTGAATGAGTTAGTAGAATAGATTTTCAAAGTATATTAAAAGTAAAATGTGTTAATAGATTAGATTTCGATTAAAATAAAGCTATAGATGATTAGATTTTAGAAATGCAATGTCTTAAAAAGAAATAAAAGATGAATTTCACCTACTATCTTAATAGAAAACAAAATCTTCTTAATACATAAAAAGTAAAAGTATAATGCTGTAAATGGAAATTAAATCAAATAAGTTAAGGTTTTCAAATTACAAAGTCATAACAGTAAAATTAAATTAAAGTAATAATCTCCTAATAGGAAAAACATGAAAGTAAAGCTGTAGAGGGTAACCAAAGACAAACAAATTTATATTTTCAAATTACAAAATCTTAATAGAAAACCATATATAAACTATATAAGTACAGTGTCTTAATAGGTTAGATTATAAAAGTAAAATGTCATAATTTTAATGCTACTACTGGTTAGATTTTTTGAGTACAACGTTTTACTAGAGCAAAAAAATTTACATTGTCATTAATAAGAATTTTTTTTTGGAAGTATATAGTTATAAACATATATATGATAATAGAAATTAGGAACCAGAACTTATAATGCTAAAATTAGTAACCAATATCACACATGTTCAGATTTTCAAAATACAGTATCTTAAAAGGGAAAAGGTTAAAAATACAAAAAAAACAGAATGCTAAAAGTGTTGGTTTAATAGGTTGTTATATGAAAGCAAAATGCTATAATTGGTTTGATTTTCAAAATACAATGTTTCGAAGAGAAAAGTTATAATGTCTTAAAAAGAAAAAAAACTAAAAAGTTGTATATATAACGAAAAAATTATGTTTTTAAAACACAAGGTCTCAAACATGTTAGATTTTGAAAGTGCAATAAAAGAAAATTGTAATAATAGATTAGATTTTGAAAGAATAAGCCTATAAATGGTTAGATTTACAAAATACTGTGTTTTAAAAGCAGAAAAATAAGTTCCCAATGTCTTTAAAAAAATATTTAAGTAACACATTGGAAGAATAACATTATAACTTAATATTCAAAGTATATTGTTTTAATAAGAAAAAGATAAAATTACACTGTCTTAATAAGTTATATTTCAAATTATAATGATAGATTTGGTTAGATACTTAGATTTAAAAGTACTAAAGTTCTTTACAGTAAACAATTTGAAAGTATAATGATATAACTGGTAACCAAAATCAAACAATTTAAAATAAATATGTCTTAAATCTTAATAGAGCAAATTAAATTTCAAAGTAGAATATTAAAAGTCTTAAAGGCTTAGATTTTCAACATACACTATCTTGAAAGGATAAAAACTAAATTCCATGCGTTCATATGCATTGGTTCTAAATTGCATTCAATCACAACATACCAACTTATGAGACAATAGGGAAAAGCTTAGTAGATTTAATTCTAGGTTTAGAGAAATAAAATCTACTTGGGTCTTGTTTGACAAGTGATAGACAATGACAACATGAATCTTCAATCGAGGTTAATAAATTCAATTATTCAATTAATACATAATCTGTTTTTCAAAATGTCATTATTAAAACATTGAAATCAGGTACTGGAAAACGATATATTTGCACACAAAAAAAGGTGATTAGAGTGTTGTTGAATAGAAACCCTACCTGATGTTTGAATTCTTGTTAAATCACTATAATTGCAGACAACAAAGGATCTGCTAACTACCTATAAATTGGAAGCTAGAGAGAGACTAAGGTATAGTGTCGCTACCAATTCTAGATCATCTTTTGGAATCAAACAACCGGAAATGCTAGACTAGCTGCTCTAGAGGCAACCTACTAGTGAAAGCCAGAGGATGGAAATTACTCAGTTAAGAGGATTAGGGAATAAACGAAGGAAAGAAAGCTTAGCTTAGATCTGTGCCAAGGTTTCAAATGAAAAGGATATAGGATTTTTATCTGAAAACCTCCGCTTAACCAATTTTTAGGAAATTTTGTTTTGGAGAATTGAAGACCATTAGAGCTGCATTTTAGATAAATTTCTCTATTCCAATCTTGGAAATCCTGCCTGCATAGAAGACACAATGCGATCTCCTTCTTTTATCTTTTATAGTCTGCAATGCATCAGGTAAAACAAATTTTACACAAAAAAAATGATTTCTCAATTGATTTGGACTAACACTTCATAGACTAACTCATAAGTTTAGCCCATCACAAATCAATCATGGAACATTAGCCCAAACATATGTATCACTGATTTACATAATCAGTCCCCCTTAATTTAATTAGTCTCTTTTGATCACTAAATTAATTACAAATTAATTCTTGATCGATACTAATTAAATAATATGATTTCTCAATTAATATATTATTCTTATAATATATTAACAATATATTAATAAATCACAAACAACCTCTTTCTCAAATATCCAACTATCAAATTGTTCTGGTGAAGGCAACCCGAAATGGACCATGCTACTATCGGGTCAAGTACATACCAATTATAGTTATGGACTTAGACACCTAATCCAACACAATATTTATGCCCAGCGTACGTTCCCACACCCAACTATTTAGCAAAAATGCCCCTATGGGCCATTTTGCAATATTTCTCATACACAAGGGCTAAAATGCAATAATTTTCATACTTAGGGTTAAATTTGGAATTACTCAACATCAGGATGTTACAAATACCCTCGGGTCCACAACCATCAGGCTGGATAACCCCCCGACCCAATCAGTCATCGAACTGGAATGCCTCGGCCCAATCAGTCATCATACTGGAATGCCAATATGCAACGCATCTAATCAGTCATCGGACTGGAATAACCAGGCCCAATCAGTAATTCGACTGGAATGCGCTGGTTTGTTGGCTTATGCACATAACAGTAAAGTTTCAACCCAAAACCGCACTATGTCGACATATGCAACAAATAAACATAAGCATATAATCAACAAGTATGTGTAATCATATAGATATACCAATCTAATAGATCGTTACCGTATAGCAACATCCTATACACAATGATACATAACAAAATCTAATGGGTCGGTATTGATGCCTTCGAACCACGAGAATAATGAGGAAAACTCAACTCACATTCTGAAAAATAATTACACATATCATTGCTCCAAAAGTTATCTCTACATGTGACCTATACAGTTAACATGGGTCCAAATCTCAAGCTACTATTCAAATTACCCAAAATGACCTTAGGTCAAACATGGTTAAATTCCTGGTCAAAGGTCAAAGTCAAAAAGTCAAAGGGTCAACACAGATTGAGTACGCTCAACATACTCAGTCACTACGCTTAGCGTAGTAGACCCTTGGCCAGATTATAGGGCCTTTTCCTAATACGCTTAGCATACCATCATACTCAACCCGATTCAATTTTTCTTCATTAAGTGCTTATTCCATTAAGACATTACTTCTAAAGTTCAAATCTAGTCCCAAATATCAATCTAAGTCATAAAGTTTCCAACTTTATGACTTTCCATGGCTAGAAGGAGTCTAAACACCAAAACCCTAACTTAATACACAACTCAAATCATCATAACTCAAAGCACCCAAAACATCTGAAAGGGCAACTCATTTGGATTAGAGTAATCCATACTCATGAATGCTAAGATTATGGGACTAAAATGCATAAAACATAAGAACTTAGCAAGATCTAAGGAAACATTCATCAAGTTTCTAACTTTATACCTTCTGGAGTTGAGAAAAACAATATTAGCAAGCTTGGGCTTCTATTTCTTTCAAAATGCACACAAAACAAATAAAAAGGCTCAAGATTTGCTCTAGGAGGCTAGGGTTTCGAGTTGGAGACTCAAGAGGGTGGTGGCTAATGTTAGGAAGGACCCTAAGGGGTTAGAGTCCTTAAATAGGGCTAAAAAACACGAAATTAAGGTTTTAATGTTACGGTGGTACGCTAAGTTACGCTTAGTGTAGCATAAGTTACACTTAGCGTAACACCCTAAAAACGTGTCCCCTTTAGCCTAGTACGCCCAACGTACTACCTAGTGTACGCTCAACGTAACATACTGACATACTCCTTTTTTTCCAACTTAACTTCAATGTCGTTTTCGATGATCCTTATATTCACGGAAAGGTATAGACGATCTCTATAATTCTATCTTGATACTTATGACTAAAAACATCTCGAACTAAAATCCTTAATTTATGCTAGAAGCTCGAAACATAACCTTTCCCATTTTACCCCTCAGCTTTCATCAAACAATCCAAGATTTAAATCACTTATCCAACATCATACACCTCCAATAGAGTTTAATGTCCATTCCATTGATGTAACAACTGGTAAAAATTGGTCAGAGTACGGCGGTCAAACCACCGCGAACCGTTATGCAATAAAGACCAATTGCGTGAAATTTTTATGTTTATAAAGTATATTAAATATGTTATATTCATAATTGTTTTTAGAACATCTCAAAATCGCTCAAAACCCTTATCGTTGACATTGAATCGGATCCTATAAATCGCGAAACTTTAAATGGATTTTCCCGTAGTTCTACTTATCGGATTTAAGATCCGTCTGACTTTTTAGAAACCTTATAACCGAGATTATTAGTTGTCATTTTCAGAAAAATTATTTCATATCCGGATCAAAGGCACACAAATCGAGAAAGTGAAGAAAATATTATCATTTTTAAGATATTCAAATATGACATTGTACTTTTGACACTTTGAGTCATGCATAGTTGAATTTATACTTTCAACAATACAACCATAGCATCTATATTTATATTTTGTACCACATCACTCAATAATACACAAAATACATGTTTTATATATATATATATATATATATATATATATATATATATATACAAAAATGCATGTTTTTACATACACAAATACATGATTATACATATACAAATACATGTAATATATACACAAATACATGATTATACATATACAAATACATGTAATATATACACAAATACATAGAATGATTGAAGCAATACATTGCTTCTAATTTTACCTCAAAGTACAACAATAAATGGGATTGACAAGTATGTTTCTTATACACTTCATCTTACCCAAAATTACACATAATCGTGTTATACAAAAACACACTCAATCCCTATCAAACACTCTTATTCTTCTTCTTTCTTTCTTCTTTGACCGTGGCTGCCAAGAAACAACAAGAGGCATCAACCTCTTCTTTTGGTTCTTTTCCTTACTCATTCCCTGTTAATCAAAACAAACCCCAAATATCCAATCCTTCATCAGTTGCTATCTAAACAATCAAAGAAGAAGTAAAATTTTGTTGTACTTCCTTGTGCAATACCTGTCGATTGAAACAACAAAAATCACCCCACTAAATGTATTTTTCTTTCTGTGAAATCAAAGAGGTAGCAGCCTCTTTGCTGCTGATCGGAGCAAGCCAAATACCCCCTGAAGTCGTCACAGTTGCTGCTAGTTTCTCCCTCCCCTTTTGCTTTTGCTGTCGGACCAAAGAAGGGACAACCAAGAGTCGCCGGAGCAGCCTCGCTGCCACAAACTGCCGGCAACGGCTTTGCTGCCACCCCTCTCTTTCTGCCTCCTTCGATCAGCCAAGCACTATTGGTGTTCCTCCTGTTCAACCACCGAACAGCCACCTCGACACCTGATCCACCGCCGCCAGTCGCTGTTGCTGTTGCCCATTCGTTTTCATGCTGCCGGCAACGAGAAAGAGCCCTGAGAAGGTTTGCCGGAGATAGGCCACCCCTTCTCCCTCCTCTTCACGATGGACTTCCTCCACCGAGCCACCTGCTGCCGCCTTCGATCTCTTTTCCCTTCGCTCGACGGATGAGCCGCTGAAGACGTGCGTGTGTCGTTTGCGCTTCTTCCTCGCGTCTGATTCCTTCTTTTGGATCGATCGGGCAAGATGAGGGCACAAAAGCCCTAAACTCTTTTTGTTATGATAAATAACCACAACAGCCCCTACAAATACCAAGTGGTATCAAAATAAATCCCATTTGAAAATATTGATCGAAACGCGTCAATGATGGTTAATGAAATTTACTAAACAACCCCCATTTGTCAAATTACTTCCCTAAACAGCCCTACACTTGTCAAGTAATACCGAAACTGCCCCTTTTGTTAATTAAGTGGCAAAAATAGTTCCGGTGGTTTGTTTTAAACTCAAAAAGTGTCGAGAGGCGGTTTCTCACGACAAGCTTCACGAAGCGAGCCTAGATCGAGATCACGCATCGAATGTGAGTTTCTACGACCCCTCTTTTACAGTTTTAATTTTTGGGGAAAATACATGAATTTCTATTTAATGCTTTGAAGATTTTCAAGTTTTATACATAAAATAACATCATGCTTTATTATTGGTTAAGATTTTATGAAAATAACAATCTAAAAGGTATAAAACATTAATAAATTATATTAGTAGAATACTATAAATGATAAAATTATACCTAGTTGTGATATATTAATTAATAGTAAGAAAAATCACAAGATTATAAGTTCATTGATACGAAGATATAAGTTATTCGACGAATAATAAACTATAATACTCGTCGTATACACGAAAATATTGAGAAATCATAATAAGACATTATATACATAACAATATATGTTATTCGATATACTCATGTACAAAGTAAAGGTACATTTTCTTAAAAGACTATAAACGAAGATTTGACAAATATATAATAATTAATTGAAACTATACCAAAAATAAATTATTATGATCATACTCCCGATCAAAATGTGGAAACGATTACTAGGTAAACGATATAATTTATCTTTATAATTATTATAAAAATATAAATCATTTAGTTGTGATACGAAGCTCATCACATATGATAATATAATTAATTCTCGGATTTTTGGGGATTATTACCTATTAAATTATATATCATATAAATTATGCAACTTATCGAACATCAACATAAGTGAGTATTCGGCTACGCGAATGGACATCCTCCTTATCGGTTGAAGTAAGGAACTACTCAGATTATTAGCGCCACAATAGTCGAACGCTACGTTAATTTCACTATTTAACTAATTTCACCGAGCTTCGAAAATCTTAAATATCTAAGATTCGCGTTAGTGACCCTAGTGAACGACGAATTTTATGAGTTGAAGAATTGTCGTCATGGATTTTATGGATTGTGTATCCCGTGTGTGTTTGTGGGAGGAATGTATCGAAAGGGGTGAAAGAGAGAGTTTTATGATGGTGTATTTTTCCTTTGTAAGGATCAAATCCTGGAATCGACACCTAGTTCTATAACCGTTAATCCAGGAGGAATCATATACTGTAGGTCTATGTACACGGCATAGATTTATAATAAAGAACTTTGGTGTAGATCTATTTCTTATGGAAAGATTTATGTGAATGGTTATTTTCCGTCTGTGGTTGCTAGCTACAACTTCGTCTGACGAGGCAACAGGCGTCAAGTGTTTCTTTCTTCGTTACTATACGACTGCTTTTAAACGTTAGTAATGATCTCGATTCCTCCATTTATATTTATATTGTGCCTGTGTGGCTTGTTTATTGTGCCTTTTTGGCTTGTGGAGGAGCGACGAATAGTGTCGGTTATAGGCAAATTGATATATTGAAGATTTTTATTCGAAGAAGTATAGATTTAGATTGAGTCAATCCTCCAAATTTGGGCCGAGTGTGTAAGAGTGTTTAGGTTGTTAACTACCTCTCCCTACGACACAATTCTCCGTAAGCAGAGACGTTTCAAAGAATAGAATTGTAAAGATAATGGTTAATATTTGTCGTTGAAATTATACGAGTGGTAAAAATATTCGTTTATAATTTACCGGTTATTGAAAAGTATTTTGGGATGAGTTTGCCCCATTGGTTAAGTGTCGATTTCCAAATTAAGTAAGATAATACTTAATTAATAATACGACACGGATTTACAAAGTTTATAAAATTTGAAACTTATGAGTTTTACATATAAACTATACGAACGTCTGTACAAAGTTTCAAGAGTAAATTTTGTTATTTTATGTTTTCACAAAGCGTGATATGACTTTATTTTACATAATTTGGTATTCAAAATCTTTATATAAAAAACATTTTAGCAATGGGACCGTAAGAATTTGTTATAAGTTTGGTTTACTTATATATATTTTACAAATGGTGTATTTTTGAATTTGAGCAAATGACATTTCTAAATGAGTTTAAATATACTTTTATGACTCAATTATTTTATACTTTCGATAGAAAAGTACGTGTTTATAAAAGCCGGTCAACCAGATAAATTTTATAAAACATTTTTGGGTATAAAAATACTTTGTGTCAAAACCTGTAGAACTCACCAACAATTTTGTTGACGTATCTTAATGCATGTATTCTCAGGTTATTATAAGGCCAGAAGAGTTTGTACAGAAGATCCTCTGATATTCTTATCATACAATTGTGAACGCCAAATCGTTAGGCTTGTGTAGTATTTCAGCAGTAAACTTGTTAATGTAATTTCTATTTCGGTAATAATAAAAGATTGTATTTGTACTATTCAATGTATGTTCAATAACTATGATTACTGGTTTATGTCGCGCACCTCGGCGTTTCCGCCGTCGGCCGAGGGTGTGACAATTGAAGCCCAAGACCTCCATTTGATCAATTTATTGCCCATAATCCTAAAATAAGAACTTCTCGAAACAGGATGTTACAGTTAAACAAACATTGTAAGAGTGCATGCCAACTTCTTTTTTGGTCGTTATAGCCTCCTTAATCTCATAAGAAGCACCCATACTATGTTTTTCGTTAGAGACAGAAAGTCTATTTAACACAAAATATATGTTTTGTATGAATTTCTTATCTCATTTACATTCTCTGTAATAAATGAAAGTTTTTTTTTGTCACTCGTCACAATCTCATTCAATTTGTCAAATGTCATTTTGTGGTTATTTTGAATTAATTTTTTTCCACATGTCATTTTATGAGTTTTTATATTTTATTAAATTCCACATAATATTTTAATGTAATACTTGTAATAAATGTAGTAATAATTTGATATCAATTTCCTTAATGAACTCAATTTTTAATTTCAAAATTTCCAAAGTTCAAGTGTATTAGTTTTTTTGTTTGTTTATTTAAATTATTTGTTTAAATTTAAAATATAAAAAAAACATTTCAATTTTAATAATTCATTATTTTTTTTATTTTCTTATAAATTTAAAGTTCTCAAATATTTAGACTTTTATATCTAACTTTTTTTTAAATTAACCATGTAATACATGAGTTTCACAACCAGTTATTTATATACAAGTTTGCAATGGTGTTAGGTGGGATGATATGTTGGCATTAATTAAGTTGATATGTGGGATAGTTGTTGGTTATTCAATGAGATGTAGACAAACACTCAATAAATAATAGGGGTAGTTAATGATATCATTTAATAAGATAGGATGTAAGCAATGAGACATAACTAATAGAATCCCAGCATCTGAGACAAATGTTGAGATTCCGGGGTGTTGATGATATTACATCGACTTTATGTCGTGCCTGCATTAACCAATCGGAAGATTCTGACCATATTCTTATCCAATGTCCATATGATTGTGCGGTGAGGGACATGATATTCCAATGGTGTGATGTACCAATCATGATTATAACAGTCTGTGGGATATGCTCCACTTTATCACCAACAGTGGTGGAAGCTTGAGACGGAGGAACACATTATTAGTTATCTCATATGGTCTTACTTAGGTCCTGTGGAAATATCGCAACGATCGCATCTTCAACCAAAAATTTCTTTGTCCCAACAAATGTGCAAAACTAGTTAAATCTTTGGTTCATTTTTAGATCAAGAGCAGGAGATCTGGTGGGTTCTGTAGGTTGGGAGATTGGTTATCTTCTCCTTTTTAATGTTTATGATTCTCCTTGTTTATTTTCTTAAAATTTGTAACGCAAAACTCTTTGTACCGTGGTTTCTTGGCCCCCTTCTAGTTGCTTGCTAGTTGGGGCCTTCTTTTATAATATTTGTCGTTCAAAAAAAAAAACTAATAGAAATATTACATCAAACACTAATATAGTACTCATCATCTTCATTATATCATTTCGGACAATCCAATATGATTTTTTTTTTCTCTTTGTTAACCTATTAATCTCCTTCACTACAACCATTACTACATTCTCTTGTCATGCGAGGGATTTTTGGAATCCATTTATCTACTATTCTATTTTCTTGATTTCTAATATATGATTTTTATATATTTCTCATTTGTAGCAATTTCATATTCCTTTTTATCGATATGGCACCTTACTGCACCAGGATTGGAAGTATGCTTGTCAATTTTTCTTCTTTGGCCATTACATCCTTCTTTAACTCATTTGTAGCAATTTCATATTCTTTTAGAGGTGGAAGAACGATTGAACTTGTGGACAACTTTGACCAATCATTTGGTGGAGTAGAAAAGGAGGACGTTTTTGTCAAACAACAAAAGTTTGTTTTTTATGAGAAGTTGGAAAGTTTGGTATAAAATATTTAGACCTAACTTGTCTTTTCTCTATTAATTATAAATATAGCTAGTCTATTTTCATCAAACTAAAAATATTCTATAAAATCCTTTTATTTAACTAGTCTGTTTTTTAAATATACATCATAATCAATACCCTTTTATAGCCATTGAATGTCATAGACAAAAATTATAAATACTCTTTTGTCGGGTCTATATTTGATATATATAAAATATAAAATAGTTATTTTATTATTGTTAAAAAAATCAAAAAAGACATTATTAAATAACATAAATTTTATATTTTATAAATAAATTATCATTATATAACTAATAAATTTAATTAAATGTTAAAAATAACTATATAAAACTAAAATATAATTAAGTGATATTAATTAAATTACCCTTACAAACAACTCATATCATCATATATTTGACGTAAAGGTATTCCGAAACGTACAATCCTAACCGATATCATACATTGTGGGTATTCTAGAATCTTTACACTACACATTCCATAATCTTTACACCACGCATCCCTTGTTTTCCATCTTTTCTTTCACTTACGTCTAAGAATATTCTGATTTCCAATATTTGAAAATGAGTTCATCAAATTGAGTGCACGAATGAAAGCTTTGTCAACCTTTCTTTTTTAGCATCATATATAAATATAAGGGTTAATGTGTGAAAATAGAAACCACCAGTAAACAGTCTTCCCCTTAGGTCACCAATCTTTTCTTTTTTTAGAATTATATTCAAACATGTAACTAAATTTTTTAGTTTCACATTATAGCATTGACGTAGATTTCAGCCGGACAAACCGATGTCAAATCCTACATGTCGTCCATTGTGACATTAAATATGACATAATTCGATCCTTTAGGTCTATGTGGTGCTGTCGACTATGGCACTACATCATCTTATATGGTAGAATTACTTTTTTTTTTCTTTTTGACAAAACTGCAAAAAATGGTCCCTATGGTTTACATCTTCTCTGTGTTTTGGTCAAAATCTTGACCGTTGTGCGACCCAAACTTGAGCAACCAGTATTCGCCATCCAACAAGTTTCAAGATGAACTCAAACATCACTTGGATGTTTCTAAACTACACATACATTCACGCCAGTACCAAAAAGCTTCAAAAATCATGGATCCAAGGTTGGAACTAGTTATACATCAAAAGGCTTGAATAAAATAGCAAAACACATCCTAAATTGTCTTGAGCAGGAACAAATCAGCGCCCTTCGATAGAAGAAGTGGTGGCACGTTTAGATGAAGAAAGAAAAATAAAAATAAATATATTAAATGTATAATAGTCATTTAAGTTTTAGAATGGGTCAAATCCACAATGAAAGATGTTCAAAATGATCATTTATCTAAATTTGTCAAGGTTTGGACCAAAACCTGAAAAAAAAAATACAAACCATAGGGATCGTTTTTGCAATTTTGTCATTTTTTTCTAATGGTGTACTAAAAACATAGAAAATAGTTTAGTGACCTATTAAATAAAATTAAAAGTTTAATATCTTAAAGAACAAATGGACGTTAACCCTAAATGTGATGAATGTATGTGATAAAGATATATTAACACACCATCTTTAAGTTTTAAACGATGGACTCCTTTTTTCAAAGGAAGAAAATTAGGTTGTTCCAACAAAAAATTGCCAGCATCAATCTTCATAACCTTTCGATCATAATTTAATTTTTACTCATGTGTACTAAGAAATTAGTACCTTTGACTTTGATCAATTTCTTCGTATTGTTCTCTTCCAATAGTTTTCTAACACATTTCTTCAGTTGTCAGTCATTCTTGTATGCCTAATCTCAAAAACTGAAACTTTCTTGAAAAATATAATTTATAAATTATATCTTTTTAGTTTACGAGTAGCTGTTGGTAACCGTATTAGTGAATTTTTTCAACCCTTTGATTGTAAACTCAAGTAACCCAATAATAGAAGCAGTAGTTTGTTAAGCTTGTAAAAGGTTTGTTATTTACATGGGGTAACTTTCAGTTGCATCATTAAACATCACAAGAGACTTCCACTTAAATTGTTGTTGGCAAAATTCCTGCATTCAACAACAAAATGTGTATTTACAATTATATTAATGGATAGTTAACATCTTTAATAAAACCTGGTAAACATTAAAAATTAAAAAAAAAAAAAATCCTACTTTCAGTTCTTTCGAATTCTACTACAATTTTCTACTTTCAATTTCTTTTTATTTTCATATAAAGGGATGTCACTTTTAAAAAATTTATCCACATATAAATTTTAAATATTTGTTCCATTCAACTTTTTTGTTATTAGGACATTATATTTTCAAATATCTACCCAAATAAGACGTTCAAAAACACCAAACATTTGTTCCAATTAATTTAGTTTTTGTCTAATCTGGTCATTGTTACATCTACGCCAAACGCTTCATAAATAATATTGTTCTGTTCCATCTACCAAACGCTACGCTTAACAAAATCCATGTTCAATTGCAAGTTTGAAAAGTACAGGTTTGGAAATATAAAATCATAAGCAAGTTTTGGTGTGAATCTGAATTAGGATATAACATATAAGATTTTGATGAAACACAATGAAGTTTATAAATAAGAAGCCAACAACGAACCATTAAATCATCAAAAAAAACATTGTATTAATCATAAATACTTATACATTTGCCCACTTTCATTCAAGCAAAAAGTAAGCAGGAAGATGTGGGAGCAGAGAGTTAAGGTCGAATTATATTTTTTGGAGATGAGAGGGAAGGATGGAAAAGTAAAACTCAAAAATGAAAATGAAATTTTAACATTTTCATTAATTTTTTTATTATTGTTTTAAAATTTAGTTTTAGTACGTACTATTATTTTTATTGTAATTCATATTTCAGAATTAACACAAAATTTTCTATTGCCATTGTAGTTTTAAACTTTATAAATTAAAATTTCTTTACCTATGAAGATATTCAGAAAGTTGCAGCTGATATGGGGTCCAATTGAAGAAGTTGAAATTTATGTAACGGATTACAATAATGTTAAAGTAAATGAGATGTTTAACAAAGAGTCTATTTAAAGAAATATTGAGGGGGTATTTTCAAAGAAGAAAAATGTTGGATTAGCTAAATCAAAGGTTTTGACAATGTGCTACAAAAAAGAATTTAGAGTTGATAAGATCAATAAAGTTACGTGTACAAAACCCAAGAAGTGCAAAATTCTCACAAAATGGTGTGCACTATAAATGTTAACCAAAATAAAATAAGTTTGTAGCTTCATTGTCTTAGTTACGAAAAAAAAACTACAAAGTTTTAATAGGTTAGATTATGAGAGTATTACAAGTATGATACAGTATGTGATACCATAACGCTAGAACTGGTTAGATTTGGAAAGTCTAATGATATAACAGAAAAAAATTTAAAATTACATTGTCAATTAAGAAACAAAATTCAAAGTATAATGCTTAAACAATGTATAACTGAAATGTATAATTGAAATTTTTAGAGTAAAATGTCATAATAGGAAAAAAAATTTGAGAGTATTTTTTTTCCTATTAAGATGTACTTTGATAATGCTAGTTAGATTATCACAGTACATCTTATTAGAAAAAAAATACTAAAATTTCAATGTCTTAATAAGGAAAAAATTATAGATCTCTAAATCGTAACCAAACTCATCAGTTTGGATATTAAGAAAAACCATTATAACTGAGTTCATAACAACATAATTTATTAAATTAAGTATTGATAGTATGATGCTATAATTGAAAGTATAATGTTATTGTTGGTAACCACAACAAAACAAAACAAGTTAAATTTTCAAAATAAAATGTCTTAAAAAGGTTAGATTTTTTTTAAACTATAAAAAGTTTCAATTTTCAAAATACAATGTCATAATTTGTCAAATTTGAAAGTAGAATGCTTTAACTGAAAGTATATGTTATAATTGGTTAGATTTTCAGAAGCACAATGTCTTGAGAGGAAAAAAAATTGACTTTTATGCTACAAATGGTTAGAATTACAAACTATAATAGGAAAAATTACAAACTATAATGTCTTTAGAAGAAAATAATACTAAAATCACACAAATATAATAGGAAAAATTATTGTATAGTAAAATAAATACAAATGGTAACAA